ACACGCGTTATCGCGGATTCGACCATGCGAGAAATATGCGGCTAAGCCGCATGATGCCCCGCACCTACATGTTGTTGCAGATCACGGTACAGTCCCAAACAATGAAGCTGACCGTGAGGCTGCGAACAGTTTTTATGTGTGGGATACGTCTGTTTGCTTGGGCATGCTTCAAGAGCTTCGCCAGGAGTAGCTGACATCCCGCCTCGTGTGCAGTAGAAGGCGTTCTGCGGCTGGCACCTTGGCAGCCAGTGCGCTTGGGGATGGCACGAAGTCTGGCAGCTCAGAAGTAAGCTGAATCCAGGCCTGGTCATCCTGCCGGGGCGGAGTTAATGTGACCCTTTCCTCGCCGTCTCCCGCCGCCGCCGCTATCCTCGTCTGACATCGACCTTTTATTCGCTGTCTTATGAGGCTTGTACGGCTTCCCCTGGGCCGTAGGGGACCCGAGGAGGAGTAAGAGGAGGAGGAGGAGGAGGAGGAGGAGGAGGAGGAGGAGGAGGAGGAGGAGGAGGAGGAGGAAGAGGGAGGAGGAGGGGAGGAGGAGATGGAAGAGGAGGAGAGGTGGAGGAGGAGGGAGGAGGAGGGAGGGGGGAGGAGGGAGGAGGAAGGAGGAGGAGGGAGGAGGAGGAGGAGGAGGAGTTGGAGGAGGCGGATTGGATGATGATGATGATGATGATGATGATGATGATGATGATGATGATGATGATGATGGTGATGGTGATGGTGATGGTGATGATGATGATGATGATGATGATGATGATGATGCTGATGCTGATGATGATGATGATGATGATGATTATGATGATGATGCTGATGATGATGATGCTGATGATGATGATGCTGATGCTGATGCTGATGCTGATGCTGATGCGCATGCTGATGCTGATGCTGCTGATGATGATGGTGATGATGATGCTGATGCTGATGCTGATGCTGATGATGATGTTGATGATGATGATGATGATGATGATAATGATGATGATGATGATGATGATGATGATGATGATGATGATGCTGATGCTGATGCTGATGCTGATGCTGATGCGCATGCTGATGCTGATGCTGATGATGATGGTGATGATGATGCTGATGCTTGTGCTGATGCTTATGCTGATGCTGATGCTGATGATGATGATGCTGATGTTGATGCTGATGCTGATGCTGATGATGATGATGCTGCTGCTGATGATGATGATGATGAGGAGGAGGACGAGGAGGACGGGTCGCCTAAGCCCTTCGGAGAAACCCTCCAATGAGGTTATCACTAGGTGGAAAAGGGGCGCGCCTTCGGCCAGCCAGCCCCCCTTCCCTGCATCTACTTACTTGCACGCTCTCGCCAAACGGACTTTTGCTTTAGCCGTCTCGAGTCCCACAACCCAGTCTGCTGAGGAGATAGACCCCTTGAGGATAGCAGGACAAGACAGGACACCGATCATAATGTCAGAATCTGGCATTCCTCATGCGAGCAACTCATTCGGAACACCGCAACTGTCCTGCTCCACGCCCCAACGTCACCGGGGACGCCCCGAGAAATCTGGCAGTTGGGGGTCGGGGCTTTTGAAATTAGCCTGACGAAGGACCCAACGGGCCTCCCTATGGGGCCACGGTCCGTGTGAGGGGTGTGCAGACATGGGCGGGGAACTGCATGCGGACCCTGCCACTGGGGCCTTCGCTGGAGCTCCCTATGGGGCCACGAAGCGTGTGAGGGATGTGCCGAAATTGGCGGGGAACCGCATGCGGACCCTGCCACTGGGACCTCCGCTGGAGCTACCCATGGGGCCAAGAAACGTGTGAGGGGTGTGCCGAATGGGGCGGGGAACCGCATGCGGACCTTGCCAGTGGGGCCTTCGCTGGAGCTCCCTATGGGGGGTGTGCCGAAATGGGCGGGGAACCGCATGCGGACCCTGCCACTGGGGCCTTCGCTGGAGCTCCCTATGGGGCTACGAAACGTGTGAGGTGTGTGCCGGAAATGGGCGGGGAACCGCATGCGGACCTTGCCTGTGGGGCTTTCGCTGGATCTCCCTCTGGGGCCACGAAACCCCGAGTGAGGGGTGTGCCGAAATGGGCGGGTAGCCGCATGCGGGCCCTGCCACTGGGGCCTTCGCTGGAGCTCCCTATAGGGCCACGAAACGTGTGAGGGGTGTGCCGGAAATGGGCGTGGAACCGCATGCGGACCCTGCCACTGGGGCTTTCGGTTGAGCTCTCCATGGGGCCACGAAACGTGTCAGGAGTGTGCGGAAATGGGCGGGGAACCGCATGCGGACCCTGCCACTGGGGCCTTCGCTGGAGCTCCCTATGGGGCCACGAAGCGTGTGAGGGATGCGCCGAATTGGGCGGGGAACCGCATGCGGACCCTGCCACTGGGGCCTTCGCTGGAGCTCCCTTTAGAGCCAGTGAGGGGGTGTGCCGGAAATGGGCGGGGAACCGCATGCGGACCTAGCCAGTGGGGCCTTCGGTGGAGCTCTCTATGGGGCCACGAAACGTGGAAACGTGTGAGAGGTGTGCCGAATTGGGCGGGGAACCGCATGCGGACCCTGCCACTGGGGCCTTCGCTGGAGCTCCCTATGGGGCCACGAAACGTGCTAGGGGTGTGCCGGAAATGAGCGGGGAACCGCATGCGGACCCTGCCACTGGGGCCTTCGGTGGAGCTCCCTATGGGGCCACGAAACGTGCTAGGGGTGTGCTGGAAATTGGCGGGGAACCGCATGCGGACCCTGCCACTGGGACCTCCGCTGGAGATCCCCATGGGGCCACGAAACGTGTGAGGTGTGTGCCGAATTGGGCGGGGAACCGCATGCGGACCCTGCCAGTGGGGCCTGGGACTACGAAACGTGTCAGGGGTGTGCGGAATTGGGCGGGGAACCGCATGCGGACCCTGCCACTGGGGCCTTCGCTGGAGCTCCCTATGGGGCCACGAAGCGTGTGAGCGGTGTGCCGAAATGAGCGGGGAACCGCATGCGGACCCTGCCATTGGGGCCTTTGCTAGAGCTCCCTATGGGGCCACGAAGCGTGTGAGCGGTGTGCCGAAGTGAGGGGGGGGGACGGGAGGCGAGAGGAGGAGGGGGCAGCGGGAGGAGGAGGAGGAGGAGCAGGAGGAGGAGGAGGAGGGTGCAGGGCACGCGGGGCGCTGTCTGTGCAAAACGAGGACCCAACACCACAGGATGGCAGGGAAACATAGATTTGCAGTGCTCAACGTAGAGTCGAGCATCTGGTTAAGAAACCTCCTCTCAAAAAGCTGGTCCAGCGTTTCTGAACCAACTTGCTGGGAAGCTGGCCCAGTTTCTTGAGCGCGTTCGCCCTCCAGCTTTCACACGAACACATGGCCCAGGTTTGTTTCAAGAAACGTTTGGAAAGCTGGCCCAAGTTTCTTGAATGATCGCGTTCTTGATCATATTGTCGGCTGTAGGGGACTCGAAGGGACCCGAATATACCCAGCTGTCGCAGGCCTACAGGTTGACACCAACACCAAAGTCGGTGGTGTGCTTCCACCGAGGGAAGATGATCCCGATCTCGGTGATGGTGGTAAGACTCGGGCGTTCTGGGTGGCCGAAAGATTACCACCGACACCAAAATCCAGGATCATCTTCCTCCCGTGGAGGCAACCCTTAGTATTGGTGGTGGTGCCCAGTTCCAATCATTCAACACTGGCTGCCCAGCGACACGGTCCACGGTTGGCGGATGCGGTATAGGTTCGCGCCGCGTCGGCGCGACACGGCGACCCCAGCGCGTGCGTCCAAGTTGGAGTGCCACCGGTTGCCCAGCTTGATTCCGTTTCGCCCCATTTGTGCCATCGGAAAGCCGCGATCGTTGAAAGAGCGTGTTCTACCGCTGCTGGCGGAAAACCGGGGGGGGTCACTACCGGTTCGAACCCCTCCCCCCCCCCCCTCCCCCCTCCGGAAAACCGGGGGGGGTCACTACCGGTTCGAACCCCTCCCCCCCCCCCCCAGCTCATCATGAAAAGGGGGGGGGTCACTACCGGTTCGAACCCGCCCCCCCCCCCTCGAAAACCGAGTGGGGGTGCGGACAGTGGTGGGGACGGTGTTGGTGGGGACAGTGGTGAGGGGACAGCGGGACAGTGGTGGGGACAGTGGGGGGACAGTGGGACAGTGGTGGGGACGGTAGTGGTGGGGACAGTGGTGGGGACAATGGTGGGAACAGGGGGGACAGTGGACAGTGGTGGGAACGGTGGTGGTGGGGACAGTGGTGTGGGGACAGTGGGAATGAGGTGGAAACACTGGGACAGTGGAGGGTACAATGGTGGTGGGGACACTGGTAAAGGCGGTGGCGAGGACGGCGGTGGGACAATGGGACAGAGGTACAGTGGGGACAGTGGTGGGGACAGTGGGGACAGTGGTGGAAACAGTGGGACAGCTCAGTGGGACAGCGGAGGAGTCAGTGGGACAGTGGGGACAATGGGGATAGGCAGTGGTTGGGTCCGTGGAGACAGTGGGGAGAGTGGAACCGTGGTGGGAACAGTTGTGGGAACAGTGGGGACAGTGCGACAGTGGTGGGGGCATTGGTGGGGACAATAGGGACGGTGGTGGAACCAGCGGGGGCAGTGGTGGTGAGGACAGTGGTGCTGGGAACAACAGTGGGGGATGTCATGCGAGCGGTGGTAGAGACCGGGAGTCGTTTGCTGGCGGTGCGTGGGGGGGGGGGGGTCGAACCGGTAGTGACCCCCCTCCGGTTTTCGAGGGGGGGGGTGGGGGGGGGGGTCCAACCGGAGTGACCCCTCCGGTTTTTCCGGATCGGAGGGGAGGGGGGGGGGGGGGGGTTCGAACCGTTCGAACGGTAGTGACAGAGCTCCGAGGGGGGGGGGGGAGGGGGGGGGGGGAGATTAGGGGGCAATTTTCCACAGTAAAGCGGCGGTGGATCACGCTCTCTCCGATCGTTCAAGGCCTCCTCCTCCTACTCCTCCCCCTCCCTCGTCCTCCTCCTCCTCCTGGAGGAGGAGGATGAGGAGGAGGAGGAGGAGGAGGAGGAGGAGGAAGGTTGAAAGATCCCCGCGGAGTCAGAAACCCACGCCCGTGTCGTCACGACGCGAGCTTGGAGCAGGGCGTGACACGCGGCGGCAGCTGAGGCGGGGACCTCACGGATCGACCCCCGAGGACACATGCCGTGAATCTTGCCACGCAGGTGCAGCAATGGAAGCTGGAGCCCCATGGGCGGACCCCACGGGCATTGGCTGGAACATCCTGCCGAAACCATGTGGGCTCTAGACATCTTTGCACGAGCCGCGCACTCTCCGAGGTGCGGTGTTTCACCCTTCTCCTCCTCGTCTCCTCTGCTCCGAGAGCCGACAGCGGCCATGACAGCTCGGCGGTTGCGGCGGTTGCAGCAGCTGCTGGCTGGCGTGGAAACCAAGAACACCTTCTTGGCTTGCGAGTCGCCTTGGGTCGACCCCGCGTCCCTGGACGAGCGCCCCGACTCGGACCCGACCTCGTCGTCGACCTCCAGCGAGCTGGGCCCGTCGAGCGGCGCCGGCCCGAACGACGCGGACGCGGCATGCGGCGCTGCAAGCGAGGAGGAGCTGCTCGGGAGGAGGCGCCAGCTGGTCGAGTGGGCACGCGAGCACCGGGGAGCGCACCGCGTGGCGGCCGAGCCCGAGCTGGACGCGGCGACGGACAGGGGCGCCTCGGAGGAGCCCGCGCCCGCTCCCTCCAGGGCCCAGCAGCGGCGCCTGCAGCGGAGCACCGTCGGGCAGGGGTACGCGACGGCCCTGGCCTCCTCGGGGGGTGACGCGGCAGGCAGGCAGAGGGCCGCCGCGTCGAATGGCGCCACCAAGATCTCCCTGTGACCGGCCGCCTCGCAGGCCCCTCGCGCAGCAGCGCTGGTGTGGCGCACTGTAGACAGATGGAGTCTTTCCGTGCCGGGCTGCCTGAGTGCAGACCGCCGGGTGGCTTACCGTCTTCTTGAGCGCTGCGCAGTAGAAGCAGGGGGATCATGTCAGTTCGCAGGGCAGTGCGTGTTCGCACAGTTTTTCGTCTCTTTGCTGGCTTCTTGGCGCCAGCCGACCTCCTCACGACTCATGGCTCCGCGTTCGAGGGGGGAATTGAGGGCCTGGGAGAGTTTGTTCTGCTCCAAGCAGATGTCTTGGGCTTAGAGTTGTTTTCCCTGCGTGGCAATGTATAAAGAAGCTTGACTGGCAGGAGTCCACGCCCATACATTTCTCCTTGTGCACCCAGCGCAAGATGGAACGTGGTGAGACTCATGCGCATGTGAATAAGCGCAGGGACATGCTCAGGAGAAACATCTTCCTCAGGACGGCGATTGTTTGGGTATGCACGCTCAGCCAGCATCAGCCAGCAATTGAGCAGTACGCGTGTCACAAACACGTCGACCATCACGTTCACCCCACGCATCTCACCCACTACGGGATAAGCGCATTGTTAGGGCTTGGGTTGGCGTCTTTGGCCAATGCACACACACACACACTTCATGTATCAAAATACATACATAGATACACATACACATACATGCACATATGCTTATACGCGCAGCTATACCCATACATAACCACATGCATGCACATGTTCACACACATATATGTATATATGTATGTCTGTATGTATATGTGTGAACGTGCATATACCGATGCATGTACACATGCATGCACCGACTCATACACACATAAGTATGCATAATTGAATCGACGTACTGGTACAAATTCATGTATACACACCTAAACCTAAACATACATATAACCCTCTACATCTACACATAGATAGACATTACAAATCTACGGCTACATCGACATCTACATCTACATCGACCTCGATATCTTCGTCTACATCCACGTCCACATCCACATCTGCATCTACATCGACAGCTGCATGTACATCTACATCTACATATGCATCTGCATCCGCATGTGCATCTACATCTACATCTATATGCGCATCTGCATCTGAATCTACATGTGCATGTGCATGTATAAGCACATATACATGTTCATAAAGCTGTAGATCTACACATATATATATACATATGGATATATGTATACCTACCCATATATATATATATTCCCTAATCAGAGCTTGCCTCTGTACGGTTCCTAGCGGTTTCATGTAGATGGTTAGCTGTGGCGCCGATTTCGGCGGCGCGCCCGGGTGCCCGGGTGCCTGGCAGCCCTATAGCCCTATAGACCTATAGCCTTACAGCTTTATAGCCCTTTAGTCCTGCAGCCCTATAGCCCTATAGCCCTATAGCCCTACAGCCCCATAGCCCCATAGCCCTACAGCCCTATAGCCCTATAGCCCTATAGCCCCATAGCCTCATAGCACTATAGCACTATAGCCCTATAACCATATAGCCCTATAGCCCCAGAGCCTTCTAGCCCTATAGCCCTACAGCCTCATAGCCCGATAGCTTTAAACAGGTTATGATATGGGCTATCTCCGGTATCATATTATATTTGTGTGTGTGTGCCACCCAGGGGGGCCCGTAGCGTAGACCACCTTTCCTCAATGGGGGTGCCGGGGGGGGGGGGGCGGGGGGACCAGGTGGCTCCTAGAGAACCTCAAGACGGCTCGATACAGCCCCAAGACGGGCCCAGGGGGCTTTCAGGACGGCGCACGAGGTCTCCAAGACGGCTAGGGATGCCGCAAGAGGTTTCAAGTGGGTCCCGGGGACAAACCTAGCTTTTCTTGAGGATCAGGATGTCTTTCTCGCCTTGTCGGCTTCCTGGCGCTCCAAGACGGCCCAGGAGGCCCCCACGACGCCCCAAAACGGCCCAAGAGGCTTCCAATCGCCGAGCGCGTTCCACTATTCGCAAAGTGCCTACTCGCAGACTTCCGAAATATACAGGTCTCCCTTTCTGCAATGTATCGCAAATCCCCCGTGAAGGATCCAGGCAATTTGCGAGTAGCTGATTTGCGAGACAGTGGAACGCGCTTGTCGATCCAAGAGGGCCCCAAAATGAACCTGAGATGATGTTGATGATGATGTTTTCGCTGCAAATGCTATACCGAAGTACTGGGCAGTGACGTGTGCGAGCTCGGCGGGGACTGCGCGACCCCCGGTGTACCCTCGCTGCGCTGAGCGGGTTCGAGCCTGAGGGCCTGAGGGTCCCAAGACAGCCCGAGAGGCCGCCAGCACGGCTCCAGGAGGTCCCCCGCACGGCTCCTCTACAGGAGGAGTCTTCAAAAATAGTTTTAACATAGTCGGGGGACGATATGAAATATGTTTGGGGGTACTTTTCAAATTTGTCCGCCAAAACCCCCCTGTAGGGGGACGATTTGGGAATAATTCTGGGGAGTAAGATTCAAAAACAGTGAGGGAACGATTGCTTATTATGTTTGACAGTATTGGAATATGTTTGGGGTTATGTTTTAAACATTTGTCATGCAAAATCCCCCTGTAGGGGGACATGCCCGACCTGACCCTAGGATGTCCACGGAGGCTCCCAGGAACCCCCCGAAGGGCCCAATAGAGGCCCCCAAGAGCCCCCAGGAAGAACCAAGAAGCCCCCACGACGCTCCCAAGAGGCCCCCAAGAGGCCCCCCAGAGGTCGCAAAACTGCCCCCCAGAGGCCCCGAGAGCGCTCCGAAGAGACCCCAAGAAGCATCCCTGAGGACTCTGACCCATGTCAGCGCCGCCGTCGTCGTCGCCGTCGCCGTCGCCGTCGTCGTCGTCGTCGTCGTCGTCGTCATCGTCGTCGTCGTCGTCGTCGTCGTCGTCGTCGTCCCCCCCTTCAGGGTCGGCGGCACCAGCCGCAAGGCTTTCGCAATTTTCCAAAATAAAGACGGAAGGCAACGAGACGGAAAAGGACACAAAGGAACGGGAGGGAAACGGGAAGAAACGAGAGGGAAAAGGGAGGATAACATAAGGGAACGAGACGGAAAAGGACGGGAAATGGAAGGAAAAGGGAGGACAACGCGTAAAAGGAAACGTAAGGAAACGCGACAAACAAGGAAGGGCAACGGAAGGAAACGAGCGGGAACGTGGCACGGAGGGAGAAGGCAGGGAAGCGCAGGGAAGCGAGGGGGAACGGGAAAAGGAAGGGAAGGCACGGCGGGGGGAAGCGGAAGGAAGCGACGAGGGGGGAGGAGTGGACACGGACGGAAACGAGAGGGAACAAGGAAGGGGCACGGACGCCAGTTGCGCGATCCGGGGCGGCGTGCGCAGCCGTGCGGGTCTGGCCAGGCTCTCGGGGCCCCTCGGGCCAGAGCCCTCGGCTCGGGCCGCCGCGGGTTGCCCGTTCTCGGGCCTCCCGGGCCCCGGCAGTGTGCTCAGCGGGGCCGCGCTGCCTTCTTGCGGCTTGTTGCGAGCGGCGTTCATCCTAGGAGGCGCACCTCTCTCTCTCTCTCTCTCTTTCTCTCTTTCTCTTTATATATATATATATATAATACCGGAGATTGGGGGGGTGAGAGCGCAGTGGCACGGAGAGCTCCCCACTGGAAAATCGGTTTCGCTTTCGTGTTCGTGTCGTGCGTGCGGGCAACCCGAAGCTGCGTGGACGGGCGCGAGGAATGACACCGCCGTCGCTAGGGCGGTTCGGATGCAGTGGACCGCCCATCCGCCCCCAGTGGGCGCGCAGTGGCCTGGGGCGTCCCGCCATGGTGTCCTGTGGTGTCCTGTTGGTGTCCCGTCGGTGTTCCGTCGGCTGTGGGCGGGCGATGGCCTGGGGTGTCCCGCCGTTGTATCGATTGTGAATTCGATTGTGCGATAGATAATGCGATCGCTAGATTGGGATGGATAGTGAGATCAAAAGTGAGATCGACAGTGATAATGATTGTGACATTGGTTGGGGGATAGGAAGCGGGACGATACGGACATTCCACTACAGCGCAATATCGTCATCACGCGTCGTCCTTAACACGAAGGCGCGTCACCAGCATCGTCATCATCAGACCCATCGCATTTGCCACCAGTTGGTTCTTCCCCACCCATCTCCATCTTCCTTATCACCCACAGGGTGGTCGTAAAGGTGTGTACATATACATATATATACATATATATATAGATCAAATATGCACGCGTAGGGTGTACAAGTACTACAAAGAGATTGAGGTCGGTCTAACCAAGTCGAACGAGTCAGTAAGCCTTGCTCATTCTCAGTTTGGATGAAATTCTGGCACACTTTGATATTGAGACTAGCCCGAGATCCCGCCTAGCGAACGGAAGGGGCACGTGCGCGCGCGACTACGCTTCTGACCCGACGAATTGGCGATGGGAGCATCGGACGGGGGGTGTGAAACGAACAGCCCCCCACTGGGAAATCGATTTCGGAGTCGTGCTCATGTCGCGCGTGTGGCCAAGGCGAAGCTGCGTGGACGGGCGAGAGGCATGAACTTTCACTTGCTAGGGCGCCGCCGGGCCAAAAGGCCGCCCTTCCCTGGTTGTCCGGCGGTGGCTGGGGTTGTCCTGGCAGTGTCCCGTCGATGTCCAGTCAGTGTCCCGTCATTGTCCTGTCGGCGTCACGTCGGTGTCCCGTCGGTGTCCTGTCGGTGTCCCACTGGTGTCCCGTAGGCGTCCCGTCGGTGTCCCGTGAGCGTCTCGCAATGAGATCGATAGTGAGATCGGTAGTGATATCGATCGTAAGATCGATAGTGAGATCGATTCATAGTGAAATCGGTCGTGAGAGGGATTGTGAGATCGGTTGTGAGATCGATCGTGAGATCGATGGAGCGAGTTCGATGGCGTGAGATCGCTAGTCGGTGCCCCGCCGGTGTCCCGCAGTGAGGTCGATCGTGAGATCGATCGTGAGATCGAGATCGATCGTGAGATAGATAGTGAGCTCGATGGTCATATCGGAGTGAGATCGGTAGTCATATCGATGGTCAGATCGATTTAGTGAGATGTTAGTTCCTCCCCTACACCCCGAACCGAACCTCCTTATCACCCGAAGGGTGGTCGTGTAGGTATGGGCCGCACAAGGGTGGGATCGGACTTTCCATAAGTTGCCATGCGCACGTTTTAGCGAAAACACCACTCAGCCGATTCGTACGGGGCCATGTTGCCGATTCTGCTAGCCAAGGCAGTACAAGCGGCGCGCCCAAAGGGAACGCAACACCCAAAAGACAATTACACGGAACTTGGGCGAACAGCAGCATTTCGCTCCCTTGGGCGCGGTCACGCTTCCGACGACTGTGCGAGCGAACGCTCGCGCGCCTAAGCGGGAGCGCCATTGTCAAGCTGAGTCTGCACGGCGCTTGGGTGACAGCGATTGTTCGAACGCTCGCCCACGACCCCTCTGTCGACAATTTGGCGAGCTACACATGTGCACCGCGCTTACGTGGGATCTCAATTGTCAGGAAGAGTATGTGCGGCAGTGTGGCGAAACCGATACCTTTTTAGTTGCCTCGCTCTCTCTCTCTCTCTCTCTCTGCTCTCTATCTCTCTCTCTATTTGTTTGTTTCTCGCTCTCTA